GCGTTGGGGAGATAAACTACAATTCGTCAGGGAGAAATAAAATGTGTATGTATTTTCTACATATTAGTGGACTTTAAAATCGATTCTTCTTGAACGCCACTTGCAATGCTGCATAAAGAAGTTCAGTGCGTAGGTTTTATATCAACATCTCTTGTACTTTACCCAAGTGTGCGAACTCTCTGGAAAGATCCTCCCATACTTCGATAGGACGTTCCGGTTTGGGTTGTTTTTAAGTTTCTTGTGGGTTTTCTGCTGGTGTTGAAAGAATATCTCTGTTCTGTGTCAAAACATTAATAACTTCATCAGAAAATGGAATCCAGTTGTCAAGCCACGAGTTATTTTCTTTTTGAAACCCGGCAAACACGTTTTCACGTTTTTATAACGTTCTTGGCCAATGTTGAGGTTAGGTATGTCACAAAATAACGTTTACACAACGTTGTAGGAATGTGCAAACGTTGTGAAATTATGTTCAGTAAGTATTTATGGTTCTACAAAATAAAGTTTTCAACACAAAATTGTAACGTTATTGTCACGTTATCATAAGGTATTATTGTTTGCTGGGAAGGTCGTTACTACTCGCGTAGTAGCCCACCTCTCCTTAAGTTGAAACAGGAAGCTTTTCAAAATCTTCGATGTCTTTGAATAAGGTTAAAAACAATTGACGCCTAGATATAGGCCTGCTTGTAAATATCATCTTCATTATGATAAATGTTATTTGGATTATTAGGCTGCTCAAAATTTAATAAAGTATTCTAAACAGCAAAAAAATATTAGAAGATTTGCTACTGTTAAATCAAGAGCAGTTTGTCGATTTTTGGAGAGCTTTTCCCAAGCTTTGCATGAACTGGTTGAGTAGACGAGCGTACATCCATCTGATTTGCTGTAATTAAATTGTGTCTCAAATATACGAAAACAAGACTAATAAAAGTGTGTCTAGCTCGCAAAGTTGCAAAAAGTAGCAGCTAAATTTGGTACCATCATAAAGCTATTAGGCTATACTGAAGATGGTGATGTAAAAATTAAAGCATGAATCCACATGAATCTAAACGTTCTATCCTACTTTTCTACAAATAGATTTTTAAATATTTTTTCTGTCGTTTAAACAACGATTTATTATTGATGCAAACTTCAAATTTAAACCAAAACATACCGTATATTTGTGTTCCCCAATTTATATACAAGAAACGTGTACATTTTGAAGTAATTCCGAATTTTCTGTAAGAAAAAAAACGTGTTTTGCTATAATGTACCGGTAGTCAATTATAGCATTTGAAATATTTATAGAGAAATTTCCGACATTTGTTGAAAAATACTACCCTTAAAATTCGTTTAAATGTAAAATATTTTCAGGATAGATTCACCAGGGTATACCCATCTTCAATCATGTGAAAAAAGTCTAAAAGCCATAGTCACCAAAATGGACTTTTGGCACACTTTGATTTCGCCCTGGCCCACTGTGCGACGGCCAACGAAATTCTAATGAAAACGCAACGCAAAGGCGTACGCGGAACGGACCTTTTTAATAAGGATCCGTTCACATTGTCACCGATAATCAGTCGATGGCGTTGGGTTGTTTAGCGCTCACAGGGAGTGGAGATGGAATTGTCGTACGATGATCGTTCGGTGAGTGCCCGATTTTACTCAATAAGAAAATCGTTTAATTTCAAATTCCCTCTTATTTTATGGATTGATACTTGTGAAATATCAAACATTTCTTTATTTCAGACTTACTTAGAAAATGGATGTGATGGCACCTCCAGAGGAAATCAACATAACACACGAAAACAGAGAAGACTATGTTTATTCGTCTGCCGACCGCATACTACTTACAGGAATAATACCATGTGTCGTCTGCTTTGGTGTTATCAGCAACATCGGAGTGATAACGATGTTTTTAAGGCTAAAGTCAATGAGAACGGTTCCAAACGTCTACCTACTTTGTTTAGCCATAGCCGACTTGGTGTATCTGCTAAACGCACCGCTTTTGTTCTGGATCGAATACGCTAATAGTCCTATTCAGGGAGATAGCTCATCTATTTCACTAAGTTTTTGCAAGATAAATACGTTCATAGTCGACACAGCATACGCAGTCTCATGTTTGACTATCGCTATGGCAACCCTGTGGTGTTACATTGCTATATGCCATCCGTTTTTCTTTATGACGTTTTCACGAAACAAGGCCATGACGCACTGTATATTGCTTTGGCTGGCGGTAGCCACGTTCAATACTAGTCGAATTATCTACATGCAAATGTACGAATATCGTCTCATTTGGAATGAATTTGATGAATTTGTGAACATAACTAGCATTAAAACTTTTAATTATTGTCATGATTGTTCATTTAAGACCGTTTTCATAATCGAACAGATAATTTTCCTCTCTGTTGCGCTAATCCTCGTTATCATGTACGCACGCGTCATAATCCATATAAAAAATCTAACTAATCGAAGGAACGAATTGGTATCATGTGACGTTTCCAATTTTATGTCTGCAAAGAGGAAACTTGTTCGTATGGTGCTAATAACTGTGTCTGTTTACATATTCTGCATCTGGCCTTTTCGTCTCCTAAGTCTTATTATAGATGCTGGTGCCGAAGTGAATATTGAATCAAGTTCAATAATTGTCACTACTGCCCGAGTTTTTATGTACCTCAATTCTTCTGTCAACCCTCTAATTTACAGCGTAACGCACGAAAAGTACCGTAGAGCAATGCTGATGGTGATTCGATGCGAAATCGAGGTGGTTCATCCTTTGAGACGACAGAGTACACGACAAACGGCCGTCTAATCATTAAGGAGATTTTTATTTATTACATTTGCTAGCAAACGGAAATGGTTAATTGAGCAATAAAGATGTATGCTACTTTGTAATGAACCTTTCTGATGAACGCATAGCCGCATCCGTTGGATATTATTGCTAAGGTCCCGCAAAATGAAAGCGTAAACATACGTTACAAACACGTTAACTTTAACGTTAGTACCCAACATGCAACGTGATAGCTCCGCCCCTTTTTGTAAACGAATCGAAAGACGCATGCGCAAACCCGTAACTAACGTACGTCAAGAATGTAAAATCCTGAAATTTACATACTCCGCAACGCAAGGTGAATAAATTTTGACGTCAAGGTTAACGTCGTGCGGTGAAAACTACGGTACATATTTACGTTACAAAAACGTGCGCTTGTGCTGGTAATTTAAACACGTGTAGTTGTGGAAACAAATACGTTTTGCTGGACCTTGCTCTGATTGGTTAGTTCGCATACCCTATACGTCTAAAGGCAATAGCAATGCAATTAAGACTGTTCCAGTTATTATATGGAAAACAGTAATAATAGGCGTGCCTTGTTCAGCTTTCTTGTTGAAAATTCTATAATGAAAATACTAAACATTGCAATGACATTCGAACAATAAAAGCCGACTTCCACTGTTAGCGGTAGGGCTATAAAAGAAAGGGGAAAAAAACTAATGCCGCAATTAATGGCAATCAAGCAGATAAATCCATTATTTCATTTCAGGGAAAGTCAGGAATTCAAAACAGGCATTATGAAAAATGACTAGCATTCCTATTTGTAAATGGATCGAGACGCATCGGAGTCTACTGTCAAAATGGAAATGGGCTGAGACACATTTCAAGCCGAGTTTACTGTAAAAATAATGTGACATAGGCCTTGTATATATTCTTGTCAATAATTGTTTTGATTATGAACAACATTGGAAAAGTCGGACTTTATTTTGGACTACTTTTGGTGGATGCAATAATGGTACAACGTTCAATGTAGGCTACATACCATGTATTGTATTCCTTAATGATTTTAAACTATAGTTTGTTTTTGTCTTTGTTTTTCTATTTATGACGTGTAAACGTAATAGAGCAAATACCGTAAACGTTTTCTGGCACTAAATTGACCCGCTCATCATGATCAGGATTTAAAAGTTTTATCACAGAAAAACCCCTATTAATGTGGCGCCTTCGGGACCAAGAAACAAGTGTCCCCTTACAGTGGTGTGCCCTGTATAGGGCTTGGTCGTAGTATGAAAAGTTAGGCACTATTCTTGTTCGCCTTGTACTTTTTTGTGGCTGAAAAAAATGTCCCCTATAGGAATGTCCCCTTAATAGTTGTGCCCAGAGGACAAGGTTCTACTGTATTTATAACATAAATGTTGTGGTCCTATAAATCCCAATAGACCTTAATTTTGTGTTTCCTTTCCGCAATAGCGAGCTTGATTATGTGCATTGTGTATCCCCCGTCATGTCTTACCAAACACGTGCCAGACATTCTTTGGTGTCGAACATTACTTTGAAAGCGTGGTCATTCAAATGACAATTACAATATAATAGAACTATATAGAAGATTGAATCCAGTTGTTTGTAGGCCTATCGAAATATAAGAATGTAACTATAAGAGATCAAAGTTGATAATAAAATTATCGTTGATAACATTACATTGATGTTGAGAATCAAAAGTAGCGTAGTAGTGATGACGGGTAGCCCACTGAGGTCTCAGTGGAGCCGCCGTCAAGCACTGTCAGGTTCCCGAGATCAACATTCTTCTTCGCATCGGAGCTGACATGTCACTGGTGTGAGAAAATTGAACGGCTTTTAGACACATATTCTTTCACGATTGTTGCGAACATTAGGTAAACTTCATTAAAAAAAAAACAAAAAAAAAAAAACATATTTTGCTAAATTCAATTGATTCTGACAACATAATTGGCGCTAATCCACAGCAAGGAATAATATGTCACGCAGCACTACGAATTTCAATGATAAAAGAAAATTATAATACGGTACCGGTAGGCTAATAAATTAGACATAGTATATTAAAACGATTTATTAGAAACAGTTGCACGAATAAAAGCAATGTTTTGCCAACACGCATGAGCGCAGATCATAGGGAAGGGAAACGCGTCCCCCACATACGTTTAAAAAGGTTAGTTCCCTCCCCACCCCCACCGACACACTTCTTTTCGGCGCAAAGTGATTTCATAAATAGAAAAGATGCCTAAAAAACTGTTGAAATGAACTGCATAAATGAACCAGGTTTTTACAAAAGAGCCCTGTACATCCAGAATAAATCTACTTTTAGCAAGGTAATGGTATATCTGTCATAAATATAAAAAATTACCTATACACGACTTGAGAGCACGTGCCTGTATTATTATTTGAGAAGTATGAGAAAAAAAAGCGTGTAAAGTTAAGATTGGTTTTCGACACATGAAGGTAGAGTAAAGTAAATAGGACAGAGACAATTAAGTGCATCACAAGAATTAATTAGATCTCTATGATTGCCAAATATCCCTAATTAAAAGATCATGAGAAATTTGTTTGGCACTTCACTTACACTGTAATGGTGATATGATGATGAATTTTACTATTATAAGAGTGTGATTCAGTGTCGTAACTAGGTTGTGAGGGGCCCTGGTTCAAGAGTACAGTCGGGGTCCTTGGCGCATGCAACTTATATGACCATGTCAACTTAAATGTGTACCACCGATGGGTTGGTTCAGGAGCTGGGGTTCTCCGATTATTACACTATTTTGAAGATAAATCTTCCGAATTTTTTTATAAATTTTAATGTTTAGATATTGTCGGGGGCATCATTGAAGACCCAGCTTATTTGCTGGACTGATCGTAATAATAAGCATAATTAGCAACTTCTTACGACCAAAAGATTCGATATTTATTAAAAGAAGTGGTGTTTTTTTATTTACTGGATTAACCATTGAACAATACCAACAATTATCTTGTATATTAGTTTTACATATATAGTAAGAATAATAAAATGAAATGGATCACACCTGACATCAGACTTATATATGACCGTGATCATATAAAGCCCTTTACTTATCCGATAAACATGGCAGCCAATCGCCTTTAATTAAATATCATACACTTGGAAACAAATGCTCGGGTAAATTTTGAAAATCCAAATCAGATTATTTTTAATTAGTTGAAAACAAATATAAACACGATCCCAAACGTTTGTAGGAGGAAATGAATAAACTTATAGGAAAAAACAAAAATTCAAACAATTATTTATCCAAATTAATTGTGAAAATTTTAGGGATTATTTTAGTAATATAGGAACAAAAGAGGACGCAATTAAAGAAGACAAAATAGAATGGAAAATAACCCCACTTTGTATTCACACACTAAATTTTACGGGACTTGTATCTGGCCGGCAATATTAAAAAGAATCTGGAATGATGCTCATGGTTATAAATGACTTAAGCATCACGTTATATCGCGAAATCTCCATGTTCCACATTAGCCTATAAATAAAGCATTAAGGCTTGGCATGGTTCCAACGGATTGGAAATTCTAAAGGTAAATGCAACAAAACAACGCCCTAACACTTATAGACCAATCTCAGTTGATGTCACATAGTTAAAAATGTTGAAAAGTAGCAAATCCAAGATCAAATTAATACATTCTCAATGTGAAAATGACATTATAAATGCTGACCAATTATGCCTTCAGGAAGTACCACGCAGTTGTTACAGGCCATGTAATAATATGACATGGCTAGAATTAATTAATGACACAATAAATTATATGTTACTACCCAACAAATTGAAAATGAGTTATTGTGGTTACAAAATTCCTTGGCTAGAAGGAAATAAGTAGTTTAGTGTCACAATAAAAACATTGCTTTATTTGATATTTTTTTTATAAGGGGGAGGCGCCCTTATACATGGGGGGGGGGGGCTGGAGGCTGGGGCCCAGGTTCACTGAACCTGCGGTAGTTACGCCCCTGGTGTTATTTCCGGCCATCTATCTAGAGGTACTGTTTTCTCAAAAAAAATATTCACCTCTTTCTCAGGATCTGGTATTATTGGACTTACGGTTTGAAGTAGGTGAAGTAAAGTAAATACATCAACGAAAATGTTTAATTTACAATGGTACATCACACATATTATTAATTAAATCTGGTTGCCGAAAATCGCTGATAAAAAAGATCATGAGAAAGTTGTTGATGCTCCATTTTGACTATAATGGTGATGTGATGATGATGAATTCTACTATATAAGAGTGTCGTTTCCGGTCATCTAGAGAGTAATATTTCCTCAAATTTTCGCACCTTATCCCAAACTATGGTAGGGCTGGGCGGGTGTGGTCTCACGGAACTACTCTCCACCCCCACCCGCCCCGTATTCCCTGAATCAATCCCGGATAACGATTGATTGAATAATTTATAATGCCTATTATATTGGCAAATATTCATTGGAACTTAGATCAGTACATTCTTGATTAAGTATGATTCAGCACGCTAATGAAACTCGCGTACGCAAATGACGACTTATGCATGGACCTAATTAGTGAAGTTGCACGCAAATATTCAAATGTGTAATAAAAAATACGGTATTAGTTAATTACAGTATATTGTTAAATAGTCACACGATATTTTTGGTACAGTATTGTCTACTTCACGGATATGCAAGGGTCCCCAACATTTTCTCCCCTGGGCCCCATGGCTTGTCACGCCACTGCAGATGATGGTATTGCTTTCGAGACCACTAATGTGAACACGTGGATACAAATGGCGGCAGATGTCAAAATGTATTGGACTTGGAAACATAGTGACTCGAGAATCAAGATATCTCCATACCAAAATGACATGTAACAACAACTAGAGTATAAATAAACGGCAAATTTACTGTTAGTCTACTGGGTTCGCGCTAATGTGTTTTGCTGACTCAAGACATATTGTGATGTAGGGTGATCAATTCAATTCTAATAAATCAGGGTATCAGAATCTGGTGCCATCTGCATTTCAGTTTCACCATCGTATGGTAATGTATCATGCGAACATTTTAAATAATAATTCGTGTATATTCACTAAAAAAAAGTCCCTGATGTGCAAACACCAGTGATACCGAACCTATATAAAAAGTTGGCCCAATTAATTAGAAGACAAGTTTTCGTCAAAGGCGATGATTGTCGGGGGTCGGGGTTGTATGCCTTTTACACATAAAATCGCGCGTAAAACTACGAGTTAAATCAAAGCTCCGTCCACACTATCAAATTTTATATGATAGATGTGTGTGGTGCCCATATAATGGAATAATGCTGTTATATTAAGCCAGCTACACCCAAATATGGGCACATCATATTTTTTTCGTCACATAAAAGGTCAGTGTTTTGGACATAATTAATATTCGTCAACGGTTACGATAAATGATAACTTAATGTCTTAGTGTACGGCGCTCTGGTCTCTTTTGGAAGGGCGATTAATAAATGATAAATGATGTACATGCTATGCCTCAAAAAACAAATTGTTGTTCCCTGCGCGAGGGGCATACAGCGGGTTTGTACAGGTGCAATGGGAATTAGGTGCATTACCTCTGATCTAGAGTGATCCATCTCCTGGGGCTACGTGTACGAAATTACGCAAATTTCGAAAGTACGATAAAGGGTGAAGGGACCCGTCGTCGAGTTAATAGGCTCAATATCACCTTCATTGGTGAGATAGCTTTATGCAGTTGATTTTACCTATCAATTTTAAAAGACCGTAATTAGCGCACACTTTTTTTTTTTTTTTTTTTTTTTGCGTATATGGAAAGCCAGGCCAGCCCATAAAATACTTTTGCATACCCTGTTAGGCATAAGCAACAACTTTCTGAACCGGTGATGCAAACGAGCAGACATTTACAAATGAGTCATTGGCACAATGTAGAATAAAAAAATGTCATTTATCTAATATGTTTGAAAAAATACGTTAAAATTAAACATCAATAAGTAATTTTGTTTGTAACATAACAATATGCATTGTGAAGTTGTACATCATACAAATAGTTAACATAATCGTAGCTTGAATTATATTAGTCCTGGATGAAGGATTAGGGTGCCCAAAACCCCAATTCGATATGGTGGAATATATGGGGATGAAGGCGGGAAATAAAAACGGAAAAATCTTTGCTCAACGTATTGTTCGAATTGGTCGGGAGGGCATAATAACCCTCTGCTTGTCTCGTTCAAACCGGTCGAAGCCCTCTTCGCTTGATCATATTCCAAATGTGGACCGTCCGAGGATATAAATATATTTTTCCACTTTGGGTGTTAATTGAAAAATGATGTTTCAAGTACTGTACTTTTAAGAAATTGCAATACAGACAAAACTGTAAGCATGCATCAGTTATGTCCATTCATGGGCTGATATGAATCATCTTTTCCTCTCATTATCATTCTAAAACTGATATGATTCATTTCATCTCTTGTTGTTTTGCTCAAAACAACTGAGATTGGCGACACTACAGTCAAAATAAAATCGGTATTTAGAAATTTGGGGGCTATTTTTGTCTCAAATATGCTTCAGAAAGAAGAAGTTCGAAACGTCTGTCGGGCAGAGTATGCTGGTTAAACTTCCGTATCCCACACATTAAACATTCAAACAATACAACATTTTACTACACAGCAATCGAACAATGGAACTCACTGCCATAATGAAAGAGCAATCAACATCACTCAACGTATTTAAGATAAAATCACTATAATAACACAATTTTTAAAAATATAGCTTCGGTAACGCTGTTAGGTGGGTCTTTACGAGAATTTTATATATTTTATTTATTTCTTTCTTGTTTCATCTTGTACAATATATATTACTTCTCTTGTATGTCTCCATTTATGTTTCAATGTGATAATTTAGGAGCCTGTTGGAACCAAGTTCTTCTGAACTTTCACGGGTTATCTCAGCATTAATATCATTTCTGTATTAGTGGTATATAATGTTCGAAATAACTCAATAATTTTTGATTGATAAATATTTTGAAGACAATTTTTTTTTTTTAAATTATGTATTTTTGTATAATAATCATAGTGTATTGCTGAAGGGCCCAAAACATCGCAGCTCGTTTAACAAAACCATACACACATATCACACCTATCTGCCAAGATCTACACATGGCTTTTCAACAAGAAACGGCTAATTTATAAAGGTTTACTCATGATAAGCTGAATTACAGTTATCTGTACAGACAAGAAAAAATCACAAATATACAATCCCTGGAAATTTATTGAAGAACAACTTTTTCAGGCATACTTTCTTTAGGTGGTGTTTCACATAATCAAGTCATATACATTGATATGTACATAAACAGTGACATTTGTATGTACCGTACCGTACATACATACATTTATACAAACATACATAAATATACATATACGCATACATATATATTTATTGCAATATTTAGACTGGACAATACAAAAAAAGACCTAGAAAATCTTTTGAACTTCATCTAAGACTGATTGTGAAACTAAATGTTTACAAAACAGCAATGATTTAATCAAATCAAATTCACAAAAATTAGAATTTACAGTACGGTACACCTAAACAGTGGTTATTGCAAAAGGAAATAAACTAAAACATTCCTCTCTATCATCCTGATGATCAAAGGCCAAAAATTTACACCAATTTCATAAAATAAAATAATACAAACAATGTGACATATTTGTGATAACTTCAGTATCTATATTTACCCGGGGGAATACACTCCTATACAATACACTGCATTATATAACGTGTCTCCTGCATAATTCAAACATTTTAAACTTAACCAAAGCATTGTCCACACAATCACATTTTATGTGACAAATAACTGTGGTATGCCCATATTTGGGAGTAATATGACATCATCATGCTTATATTATATGTGCCCATCATACAAATTCGTCACATAAAATTTGATAGAGTGGACGGAACGTTACACAAAGGCCAAATAAAAAAAATATCTAGTTTCTCGTCCCCTCGCGCATTTATTTTCTCTGCCTCACAAATATTTTTTTTTTTTAAATTTCCCTTATTCCACAAAATGTACGAAAATCTGGCTAACTCACATCAGTGACAAAACTTTTCCGGTCATTTGTGGCTGGGGATACATAATGGTATGAACCATGTCTAGTGCTTTTTTTATTTGCTTTCATTGTGTGTACTTGGTAAAAGTGAGAAAGTACTAGGTGTTTCTTATCGACCATCTTGGATTTGCCATATTGGAGGAAAAAAAAGTGCCTTTATTCTCCTTTCTTTCAAATTATTAGGTTGAGAAACTATTTTTTTTTTACTTGGCCTAAATAACTTATGGTTAACTATTAAGTTTAAATTAACCTCATTATTTAAAAGAAGAGTGTAATCTCAATTTTGGAGATCAAATAAGTTTACTCTCAATTAAAGGCATCATGTGAATGTAGTCTCAATTGAGGGCATCTATTGAGTGTACACGTACTGTAATTGGCATCAAGACTACTTTCAATTCAATGAATTATCAGAGTTTACTCACAAGAGGGCATCAAGTAAGTGTACACTCAATTGAGGGCATCAAAGTGTGTACTCTCATTTGAGGGTACCTATAGAGTGTACACTTTAATAATTGATTGGCATCAAGACTGTACTTTCAATTCAATGAATTATGAGAGTTTACTCACAAGAGGGCATCAAGTAAGTGTACACTCAATTAAGGGCATCAAAGTGTGTACTCTCATTTGAGGGTACCTATAGATTGTACACTTTAATAACTGATTGACATCAAGAATGTACTTTCAATTCAATGAATTATGAGAGTTTACTCACAAGAGGGCATCAAGTAAGTGTACACTCAATTGAGGGCATCAAAGTGTGTACTCTCTCAATTGAGGGTACCTATAGAGTGTACACTTAATTGATTGGCATCAAGACTGTACTTTCAATTCAAATGAATTATGAGAGTTTACTCACAAGAGAGCATCAAGTAAGTGTACACTCAATTGAGGGCATCAAAGTGTGTACTCTCTCAATTGAGGGTACCTATAGAGTGTACACTTAATTGATTGGCATCAAGACTGTACTTTCAATTCAATGAATTAAGAGAGTTTACTCACAAGAGGGCATCAAGTAAAGTGTACACTCAATTGAGGGCATCAAAGTGTGTACTCTCTCAATTGAGGGTACCTATAGAGTGTACACTTAATTGATTGGCATCAAGATTGTACTTTTCAATTCAATTAATTATGAGAGTTTACTCACAAGAGGGCATCGAGTATAGTGTACTCTCAATTGAGGGCATCAAGTAAGGGTGCTCTCAATTGTGGGTATCTATAAGTGTACACTCAACTGATTGGCATCAAGACAGTACACTTTCAAGTCAATGAATTATGAGAGTTTACTCACAAGAAGGCATCAAGTAAAGTGTACTCTCAATTGAGGGCATCTATAGAGTGTACACTTAACTGACAGGCATTAAGAGAATACACTTTCAATTCAGCGAAAGTTTACTCACAATTGAGAGATATCAATGTCGTACTTATAATTTATAGATTAAATTTAATTTAATTAATATAGTATGTTCCGTTTTCATTTTGGTCAGAAAATGTGATAGATGTTACAAGTAATTTGTGAATTTTCAAGATTTGAGAATGTCAAGTTTTGTTCATTTTTAGAATAATCAAAATTGCTAGAAAAAAATATATAACATCATACATAATTGTTTCAATGATTTTACAAAAATCTGAGGAGAGAGTTTACTCACAATTGAGAGTTATCAATGTCGTACTTATAATTTATAGATTAAATTAAATTTAATTAATATAGTATGTTCTGTTTTCATTTTGGTCAGAAAATGTGATAGATGTTACAAGTAATTTTCAAGATTTGAGAATGTCAAGTTTTGTTCATTTTTAGAATAATCAACATTGCTAGAAAAAAATATGTAACGTCATACATAAATGTTTCAATGATTTTATAAAAATCTGAGGTGAAGCTTTGCTATCTTAATACACAGGCATTAATGATACATTTATAACCAATTCCTACAGAAATAATGTCCCTCTTCTTAATTATTTTCAATATATTCTGCTACAAAAAAAAACAAAAACACAGAATTATTTCAGCGCCTAAATGTGAATAATGCGTTAAAGTTCTGTGTGTCCATGTTGTAAAGGTTGATCATGCTCCTCAATGTTAACTTTTGTTGTACACAAAGCTGGCGTAGTGAATTCAAACTGATAAACGCATTTTTCTGGCTCACTGGCTGAAAGAATCTTGTTTTCTTTACCACAAGACATCTTAACCTAAAAGACAATGTAATAGAAATGTTATTACAAAAATATGGAACTATCAAGTAGTCAATCAATCAACAGGTATTTATTTATAAAGTGCATCATGAGTATATTTCCCGTACGATTAAAATGGTAACGGTACTGGGTTTGGTCTACAGGAGCTCGTGCTTTGTACAGAAAAGAGGTCATCAGAGGTCTCGGTGCCACAGCCTACACATAATCTGACATCATGAATATCAATAAAAGAATACCATGTCGGGGGTATCAAGTTGAAAAGAAGTTACTTTTGAGAGATTTGGTTAAATGAGCTTTCTTAACTGGTACTGGATAGGCATTTATAATGTTCCTCTTCTTTGAAGTTCAAAGCGCACATCTTTTCCGTGGTCATTGGGTCCACATGCTAAGTGTTGCTGCTGGTAATGAGCGCAGGAGCAGGCAACCCCACCAGGTACCCATTTATACTCCTGGGTGGAGAGAAGCAATGCAGATAAAGTGCCTTTTGCTGCACATCGTGATGGCCCAATGGCACTGATATCCGCTAGACAACACATAAAAAAGCAGTCCAAACAAGCAGATATCTTCGGGATATGGGATATTTTCGAAAAGATCCTAGCTTCCTTGCGGGAGTGCAGGAGGCCGTCTCGACTTTCTGTTGACTTCCGGGGGACTTCCACGAGTTGCGGGAGACTTGGGACTCGTGCAATGTTTAGGTGCAATGATGTTACTGTCTTTCAAAGTGCACATTATGAGATTTTTCAAATTAATTAAAAAATTGGTGGAAGGAAAAATTGTCCAGACTAGAAAACACAAAATTCCTGGGTATTAATATTGATTCTGGATTAACATGGAAGACACACATCAAAGAACTTGAACTTGAACTTGATCAAGAACATTGGTATCATTTTTAGACTTTCTTCTTATATCCCACTTAATATCCTCCGCACTCTGTACTGTAGCCTTGTTCTTCCCTACTTGAGTTATTGCAATATAGTTTGGTGCAATACTTATCAATCAAATCTTAACAGTCTTTTCATTAAACAAAAAAAAAAAAGCAGTATGCATAATAGCAGGCACTTCACCACTAGCTCACACTGACCCGTTATTTACGTCCCTCAACTTACTCACACTTAAAGACAAATTAAATTATGTACTTCAACAATGCAGTTTTCTTTATTCTTCAACTAAATCCTTATACCCCCTCAATTCTGTAGCTTATTCCACCCAAACTCATATTACCACTCCTACCGTACTAGATCTGCACTCAGATTGCATATTCCCCAGCATTAAAAGACATCTTTTCAGCACAATATTAGATTTAGCGGACCCAAACTATGGAACAATCTAAATGACCACATAAAAAACTGTGAATCGAAGAAAAGCTTTTCCTTAAATCTTAAGAATAACGTAATTTCTAGTTACAAAAATTAAAACCCAAATAAATTTTCGTCCTCTGTAGACAATCAGTTTTGTCTTTTTTGTCCTTTTCTTCTCGTAGCCTGTCTTCTGTCTCCTGTTATTGTTTTGATCTTAATTATTATTTGTATTATTATAACTTGTTGAATTTTTACTTGTTTTCGGGCTTGCCTCACACAAGCACTTGCTTTTTTGGCTATGCCCTCTTCAACTATTTTTTATTCTCATCCTTTAAATTGTTTATATTGTACTTTTGATTATAAAGAAATAAATGTTTATTTGAATGAATGAATTAATGATGACATCACATCATGACCATATATAGGCACATCATGACTATATATGGGCATACAACAATTTTATGTCAAAGAAAATTTGATAATTGGGATGGAGCTTCACAAATGTTTTCAAAATGTTTACAGGCAACAGTACTTTAGGGTGAACACACTGTACATTTCTATAAATGACTGTAAAATGTTTTTTTACTCCTGTACTGAATTTGAATTCATAACACAGTGGTGTTGTCATACAAATTACTAACTACATGGGATGCAGATCACTGGGCCAGCAAAACATCGCATAGTTCCCTTCAGTTTAAATTCCATTCACACTGTTTACAATCAGTGTATATTTACAAAATCACCGGATATGAGTTGCAACAAGGAAGCCTAGTCCTATAGGTAATCTAAAATCAACAGAAATGTGTTTTCTTTTAACTCTGATCGAAATATGAGAAAGATGCATAATAACAATCAGCAGAATATGCAGAGTACATTTTCGAGGGAGGCCAGGATCATTTACAGCAAGCAAAGCACAGGTGAGATATTGGACAGGTTAAACTTTAAAAACAGGTGAAAGGATGTAGGTGTGATTGGCACAGCTGCTCAGTACAGCCTCTCAACCTTGAAGCTGGGGTTCGAATCACAGGCTATTAAGACACACGTACCAAGTTTGACTCTCCTCAGTCAGAAATAAGCTATGTATTTGTTATGATTGATAACATCGTAAAATGTCGATGCAGTAGATCTTTATTGATCTAGACTATGGCAAGTCAATTAATACCGAGGTTAGATGCTCTATTAGTAATTTAATAATAATATTCTGTTTGTTTTTAATCGTATGTTATGTAGCATTAAAACATTCCTAAAATAGGGAACAGCATGGGGTGTAACATTTCAGAGTACTCAAGGCCTTAATTCATTTTCTAAAAAATTTATGAAAACAATAATAATCATCTTGTAAGGGGTTCTTATCTATCTGCTTCCGGTGCCATTTTCACTTGCAAATGGCAGCATTTTCTGCATATTTTATAAAATTATTTTCATGGTTTTAAATATATTTTATGCAAGCAAATGAGACAAACAAGCAAATAGCCTATCCAGGAGTCCTGAAAAGGGAAAAGATTGGGGCCAAGAAGCATGAGTGGGGCTTGTGATTAAATGAGCTCGAGGCACTAGGTCGCAAAATTTGGTGATACTGTATGAGGTGATTTTAACTACTTCTGCTTTATTCGTGCACAATCGTTTTTTTTCCCCCTTTCTCTCAGCACATTCAAGTTTAAAATCTGTCTCTTATACACATCTAGATGTGTATAAGAGATCTGTGCATAAAAACGATTTTGAACATTCTAACTGGGTTGTCAGTCAAAAAGTTTGCAGGATGCTGGCCACCTTTTACTCTTCTATCTTTTTCACTTATTAAAACCAGGAAAACATTTGGACCTACACATGTTCATGATCACTCGATCTTCATAAAGGCCAGCTCAGACAGGCAGCGTCGTACGACGCAGCTTGACGCGATTTGTTGCTGCATTGGGTCTGTGTAAGTTAAACGCAGACGTGATGGTTTGCATCGGGGGCAGTCGCGTCGTAGAATAATAAACGGCTCAAGACTGTCTCCAACGATGAATCGCGTTGGGCTGTGTTGTACGACGCTGTCTGGAGTTGGCCTTAAATTGCAGCGCTATAATTACATCACTGAGGAGTATCACCAATATACCTGACATAACATAAATTTCATAGCTATGATATGAATAGGCTGAAAAAACATATAAAGCACACAAGCTGGATAATGGGAATTGGACAAGCAAACAGCTTAATTGATGTTTATGTGGTAATGTAAACCGTACCTCGTAAAACCTCAAATTGTTGGCTTGATTTCGAGAAAAAGCCCATCTCGAATTGAAGCCCAGTGGGCTTAATTTCGAGATGAAGCCCATCTCGAATTGAAGCCCTCCTCTTTAGTTTGCAAAATTAGCCTTGAAAAGAAGCCGATAGGCTTCTTTTCAAGATAGCATCCTTCTTTCCAAGATAGTACAGTACTTACACTGTACTGTACATAAATTTTAATGAAACAAAATTAATAAAAAACACGCTTGGTTTATACAGTAGTCGAGGTGATTCAATGCCGGTTAATACAATCCACGATACAGACTGATGTTACAGTGGCCCTTATTGCTTTAATTCCCAAAATTTACACAGCATTGATTTTGGAAAAAAGCCCCTCTTTACTTTGTAAAAGTAGACTTGAAAGCCTATTTAAAAAAAAAGTCATCTCAAAAATGAAGCCCATCTCAAAAAGAAGCTTATTCAAAGTTTGAAAAGAAAGAAGCCCAGGGCTTCAATTCAAGGTTTTATTGAATATTGACTATAAAGTCAAGCTAGACAACTAAACAACTAAAAGGAGCCATTCAAAATTATCAAGGTGTTCACAAATTGTAAACACAGCATACAGTGACCCCCTCCAATAAAAGATCACTTTTCTGTAATGCCAAATTAACAAATGTCTTTTATTTGATTATTCTAATTAAGAGATCTGGTCCCAGAAGTGGTTTATAATTGGAAGGAGACTGTATTTACATCAGCAGTGTAGGCTCAGTGATACATACAGTACATCATTAAGTTCAGATTGCATAAAATCTTTGATAATGCTATGGACATGGTCGGCAGAGCCGGGGATCCCGCCCACCTCCCACCCCCACACCCTTTTTGGCAGGAAATATATAACGTCTATGCAGGTTTTTGTATGATCGGAAAGAAATGCTAGTGGGGGCCCCACACTTTAAAATAGGTTTCACTGGCCCTGATGGAGTAAGGTTTCTAGATATTTTAACCTTAGAACATTGTTTCAATTTCTTTAACAAAAATTAAATAATAAAATGTTAGAATTAAATAGCGGTTAATGTCAACAAGGCCTCTAAGCACTTTACACTATTACCCCTGGTTACTGACTGGATCAAGCAATGAAACACATACCATGGTATTTTCAATCACTTGTAATTTTCGGGTGCGCCGCTCAGTGATAACTTCTAAAGAATTATTTTATATATTTTGTATGTCTTTGTATTTTATCCTTTATATGTCTTTTGATGATTTTTACTATTGTTAAACTCCAATTTGGAGAAGATGATATTTTTACCTTGTCAGGTTGCAATAAAATTAATTTGATTTGATTAGCTTTGGGCGAAGAGAGACAACAGGTGAAGTGCCTTGCCTAAGGACACAAGCGAAATGCACAGCAAGGGATTGAACCTCCGACCTCAAGGTTGAGAAACAGAACCACAATTGCTGCAACCAATCTGCTCTTAAAGATTTCATTCGATGAAGATAATTTATAGGTCCATCTACTAAAGTAAGAACAAGGCTTCATTTTCCTGATTATCAATGTGACTTTTAAAACTATAGTTCAAAACTAATTACTCAAATAATTGCTTAAATTTTTTACCGTTTTTTTTGTGTGTATATTTTATATGTTTTAAAAATCATATCTTTTTGTTGTTGGCCAGGGGTTTAGAGATGACCACATGTTGTGTTGGGCTCTAACCCATGTCATCTCTAGTCACGCCCCTGGTCAATATGTACTTACTGTATCTATATCGTGATGAGTGATGGTTTCTTCTTTAGTTGTTTTGTAATTTTCCTTAATTCAATTGATTTAAAATAATTCGCAATTCAACCTTTACGGCTGCCATGTCTTATTGTACTGTATGTAACAAATATCATTATTTAAGAGGCACTTATAGAAGCTACGTATATCATTCCACAACAACAGGGGCTGAAATGAAACATAGCATCAAGGTAAGTACACACAAGTCAGATATGGACATTGAACCACCTTTTAAGTCCTTGTCCAAGAAAAGTTGGTTCTACAAACCGAACCCTGAACGAGGAGCAGCACGAAACTAGCAACCGATGTTAAGGCCGTAGTTAGTGACGGCCCTCTGCCAGTGAACTCACCACGTTGAGTGGAGAACCCATTCCTGCACCGTCAACAATGGTCTTACCAATTATCTTCATATTGGAGAATATTTTCAAAAGGATGTGAACAGTCTCACTTGGAAATAACGAGGTGATATCACAGGAAACTAGCAGGACATTAGTACATCTGAATAAACTTATTGAAAATTAATCTAACCAAAATATGAGTAAAATGTATTTAGCAGCAGAAGGGCAATCCCCTGATAAATCCTAAAATTGAGACTGTTGTCACTCTATCGATTTATTAAGAAAACGAAAACAATGTCCAAGGACAAAACACAAAATGCATATGGAAACTAAGTGAAAAGTAAACCTGAAGACACAGGGCTGTTAGCATGACTTTTTTGTTCCGCTGTTTTTTCCACTTTCTGCTTTATTCGTGCACAATCGTTTTTTTTCCCCCTTTCTCTCAGCACATTCAAGTTTAAAATATTTTTATGTGATTAAATTAAAATGTAAAACTAGAAACTACATTGCTTTTTTTTTACTTACATAATTTCATGAAATATATTTAATTTGTTAAGAATATAGCAGATTTATTGAGTATCCTATATTTTTTTTTTTACAATTTTTCAATAATAATTTTGATTACTTATCTTATTAATAATTTAATCAGACTTCTCATGTTCATAAAATGCATTTCTGTATTACTATGTCTTCAGATTTTCGTAGTAAAATATACGTAGCACCTAATAATTTGCTTTGAGTGCAAGACAAGGGTTGATCAAAATTGCAGTTCAAACAAACTGGAGATGATGAAAATTTATGGGTGAATATTCAGGACGATCGGGGCCCACTTATCTTAAAAATGGGCCCATGGTCCTGGGCCCCGAACAGGCCACATTTTCTCAGTATTCACAATAATTTATCATTAATCTGACAAGTATGAGTTGTCTAGGGACAATGTAACCAAAGATCCTGATGAAAAAGTTATTTATATGGGTCAAGGCCTATGATAGATTTTAGTATTTTTGTCTATTTCCATATGTTCATTGATACTACACTATCTTTCATTACCTTTGTTTTTTTTTTAATTATTAAAACATTTATATGGCACTCTACAAAGAAAGAAAGCACCTAACAATTCAAATAAGCAATAAGTACAAAACAGAAAACCTTTTCATGTATTATTTTGATAGAAAACAAACGTTGTCTTGAATTTGATTTCATGTCAATTTAAAATAAAAAAGAAAAATTCCTCACATATTTTTCATCGGACAAGCTAATTATATTCTTTTCAGAAATTATTACAAAGACAAATACAATATTAATATTGTGACCTTCGCACACAGTATGCTGCAATGATTTTCACAACTTAGTAACAAACACATGTGCTTTTTCATGGACCAAGGAGTAGAAATGTTTTGGTAAAACCAAGATATAAATGAGAATAAACACCCTGATTCAACAGCCAGGACATATATACAAATAATATCTTTAGCAGGTGTGGATTACTGCCACAGGCAAATGCCTATCATTGCGCTGATGCGTTGCGTACTGTAGTAGGGCTTCAGGGGTGTATCCAGAATATTTTGTGGGTCCTGATCATAAATTTTTGGACCTTTTCACAATGAAATATTACAGCACTATGTGATTTAAAATGTCAATACAATTTGCTTGAAGTGGATTGCTGGAATTGAGATAGATTACGTCACGCAATTGGCAAGGTCTTTGGACTCATTTCATTGCTGGTACCTCATCAATGCTTTTTCATATGTGATTGTGGAAAGGCCCTAGAAAAAATTATCTTTGGAAAAGATGTAGACCTTTGAAAATTTTGGGGGTCGTACAACCTTCCCGACCCCACACCCCCTCCCCTCTTGTATACAACCATGGGCTTTAACTGATGGATATTAAGACATCGTATTTGGAATGAATATTAAACATACAAGGTTATCACCCAATGTCTGATCAGATATACAGTAAAGCTCTGTCCACTATTGTATGCCCATATAAAGTTATGATGTGCCTATATATGGTCATGATGTGATGTCATCATGAATATATATATAGGTTTGTCACATGTTTTTTTTTTGTCAATGAAATTTGATAGTGTGGAAGGGAACCTATTGATTGAACTTTCTGAACCTGAAATATCTGACAGGCGAATATTGTATCAATCGTCTGTTTAACCCCCAACCGACCTCAACTTCTGCAGTTTATTAAAGTGCTCTCCACGATCGACAAGGGAACAAATTTCTGAAGTGCACTTCTATACAAATAATAACAGTATTATAAATAATTTTCAAGGTTTTCATAAAATTCAATTTGATTATACATGTCAGTAATTTTTATTCAGATCTTATTATACAGTACTGCACACCTGCCAAGTCCCACACATTCAGCACGAGAGTCGTGTGTTCGGCGCCAGTCTCGCTCTCCCAAAACAAAATGTCACATATAAATGCATTAAAAAATATATTGTGACCGTTGCAGCTTTCTTCTTACAAAACATTCTTCATCTATAGTACTTAAAATATGGTAACATAATGTATACAAACTCAGCCCTCGAAATTATGTTCTCGGCAAAAAATGCCGACGTAAATTAGACTCACGTCAGCACACATCGTCATTTTTGATTGCCTGTCAACAATTATGCACCAGGCAATTGCAAGACCCAGCGTCTATAAAGGTGTAATACATTTTTTTAAATGCATGAAACGATGGGGTCTCATGACAGCGCGACCCATAAATGACCTGTATCAACAAACATTGCGCTACTTTGCCTGTAACAGTAAGTAGTGGCTAGCTTGTGCCAGGGTGGGTTGCTTGACGGAAGAACCAAAATAAATGTTCATTTAAAAACAATAAAATAAACATCGATCCAAAACGTGTTATCCGCTGGCTCTACTCCACAAATGGGCCTAGGCCTAGCTTAGGCCTGTCTTAGCTTGGCAAATAGTTCCGTGGTACGCTTTTTGGTACGCTTGTAAAGCGTCGGCAAATACGTCGGCATTGCTGAATGCCGACGCTAATTTCGAGGGCTGCACTTACACTGTGAATATTTTGTTTTATAAAGCGTAGGTGTAATACTGAACAGATTTTATGTTGTAAAAATGCTACCCTAAACTGAGAAAGAATGAATTTCTGGCCATGTAGAAAAAATAATTTTCCCAGAGGGTGGAGGAAAATTTCCCGTAGGGGAGGAATTACCAAAACTCTTGGACCTGCAAGTTTGTCTAACTTGGAATCTTTGGTACTGTGTTATATAAACTCACAGGCTTGCCCACTAGATCAAAGTGAGGTTGTTTAAAATAAATATTTTTAAAATAAAATTAAAAATCGGTAGGCAGTAAATAAATGGATTGGTGCAAAAGAACGTGGCAATCTCCTGGTAGTGTCACATGACTTGCAGTTCACTTGTGAGCTCTGCTGTTAAAAAGCTATTAAATTTAATATTTAATAAAGTGAAATCTTCTAAAATTAAATTACTAGTATAGTAGTATTAAAGTATATTTGCTTTTGGTAAATTATACTTTATAAACATAAAAAATAGTTTCACTCGTTTATTTTTTAATACTTCTAGATGCTGTTTATTATACAGTAAATATTTTGTATATAATGGCGATCATATCAACTTTTGGTAGGGAAAAGGAAAAAAACTTACATTAGTTGAGCGATCAGGACCATTCCAGCAGCCTTTTCCTCTGCTATATTTCATCACTGTGTACTTTTCACCTGGCATTCCATCCCACTCTCCCCATGTTCTGAAGGTAACAATAATGAAATGGCATAAATTATCATCAAAATGTTCATAAATTTAGCCCACAAAGATCAAGGATTTTCCCATAGCAAAAATATCATTATCTTAATAGATATAAGTGGCAATCTCTTTAACAAACACATGATAGATATATTTTTCAATTTTGATTTCATAACCTTAACTTCCATTTTAAACATGTACACAGTGCCTTACAAATGAAGAATAATGAAAAATCACAAGTACAATTGAGAAGTAACCATATATTATAATATTACATACCTGTAGGTTACATCAGTGGTAATAATATAAATATTAACTGATAATAATATGAAAAAAGAGGTAAAAATATAAATAATAATAATAATAATAATAATAATAATAATGTAATAATTGATAATGGATTATACAGTCAATTGCCGATTTTGATGCCTTGGCAAAGCTTCAGGAATCACTTTTTAAAAAAATCACGAATTTAGTTATATAGCGTAGTACAGACACAGGAGTGCATACATTACATAGATAATAAGTATCATAAATATGTACACTTACAGCACTATGAAAAAAGAATATGCAAAATCTGGCAAAAAAGACAAGAAATCACAAATTACTGTATAAGGTAGATACTGTACTTCGGACAGAACACTTGCAAAACAACATGTCCTGTGTAAAAATAGGACTCACAAAGTTTCCATCGTGATTGATCCGTTCAACAAAAAAGGGCGTGCCGGTCAGAACCTTAGTCCAATCAAACTCATTTTTAGATATTTCGAAAGCCAATAAAATTTTGAGTCGTCTCATAATACTGTATATATAAACTAAATGATTGATTCTAGGCGGCGCCATAGCCCTTGGAAGTGGAAAAACATGCTCCAAAATACGGTAAAATGCAAGAGTTCATGTTGAAAACCACTTGTGCATTTTAGTCTCTGGCGATTGTTTAAAGCACCTACTTACTTTAGTACTTTAAAACTGGCATAATCTTGTAGGTAATTAAATTTTATATATATCTTTATTGAAAAACTATGAGAATTTTTAGAGCCAAAAAAAACCCAGCTAATTTTCATTGTTTTTGCACTATCCACATATACTATATATGCATCACGTTTACCGTATGTTGCTCAAAACTGTATATGCATCACGTTTACCGTATGTTGCTCAAAACATATCGTATTGGATATCAAACTTCATTTCCGGCAGGTTTGTGATTTCTGTCTTTGAACTTTGAACTTCATTGGAACACTTTCGTATCAGTGGCACCACACCATCTGGTGGTACACCCAAATAACAAGCAACATTTCACAAAATAAAAAATAAAAGATACAAAAAAAAAACGAAGTAAACATTAATTAGTACGATGGAAGGAATATTCCATGACTATGTGATGTCAACTGGGGTCAGGTCAATAAAACTCTAATGTAATGTAGGTACCCATTTTTTTGGAGGGTAACAGACCCAGATCATGAACATGGCTTTTTCCTATTCTTTTGTATTTACCTTGTCTCTTCTTCTAAAGACCTATCCTGACTATCAAATTTTAATTGACAAAAACATGTGACATGCCTGTATATGGTCAAGATGACATCATATCGTGACCATATTCTTTATTCTTTACTTTCTTCCTTCAATTTCAAATGCCTTACATAATGATAATATTGATTATAAACCTATTTGTACAGGTAGGTCTTGCAATACAATAGCCAACAATACCAAAATATTGAAAGCCGTATTTTTTTCCCAAAAATGTGATTTTTTTACCACAAAAAAAATCTTTTTTTTTTTTTTTTGGCTCAAGAGATTTTTCAAAATTGTATGCACATACAAATATCTGTACCAAATTTGGCACTTTTGTCATCCATGTAACAATCTTGACGCCAAGGCACTCGACTAATAGGCACATCACGACCGTACAAAATAGGCATACAATAGTTATTTTGTCAAAAAAAATTTGATGCATGGCGAGATAACCACAGATGTCTAGGTCTGCCAATATCGAACATATCATTGTGCTGCATAAAAAGTGGGAATTGCTTTTAGGTCACTTACGTGACGAAAAGTTTATGTGAGAAGATTATATCACCTTGTCTTTCCAAATCATGTATTCCAGTTTTTAAGTATATATACAGCTGGTACAAGGATGAAAGATGAATTTCTATATAGATTATAAAATAATGCAATTTAATAATAATGAAATACAACTTTAAAAAATCTTAGTTGTTAAACTTTGTCTTATGTTTCTGTGTCCATGTTAAAGTGATTTCATGTGTTTGGCAATTCTTAGCCCCTGAGTCTAAATATATAAATTAAAATAATAGTGACACTGTCAAACATAGCCTAAAAGAATTAACCCCTGACACCAAGGAAGCTGAACAGTTCCTAAAAATTTGAAATCTGTCAGAGAATGTTTACATGCTTCTGGACCTTCGGGAGAACTTGCATCAAATTACAAATTATTTTTCCAAATGTGTGGGCCGCATTTGATACATCTGCTGGATCAAGGAAAGTTAATGATATAAACTGATACACTGTAGTAAGGTGATGAATTTAAAGTGTCACAACAATTGTATTTAATGGGTGGCTAACATTCATTTGACAAATTTGGTGTAACGCACCTACGATGACACAAAAAAGGCTGAAGACTTATTTTCAGTGGAATCCTTTTGATTGTGAACTACTGTAGGCAGTACATAGGGAGACAATCCCGTACTCTCTTCCAAAGACTACTACATTTTTTAATCATCCACATGGGATATATAGTAAACAGGCCTAACAGCTTAAACATCTCATCCAAACACTTATATTTCAGCCCTCCAGTTGAAACATAAGAATAGAAAAATTAGCAGATGGAATTAAACTGCATGCAAAGTGCCTATAACCAACTGAGCTAAGCTGCTCTCTGCAAATTAAACAATTCATTATGTTTAATTGCATTCTTAGACCCATAAGACCAGGATTCCTTTTAAGGGGAGGGGATTTCCTTGACAGCCAGGGGTCCAGTTGGTGAATAGGCACCCATGTGAGGTCCAATAGGGGGACTTTTGTGAGGGTCAGGGGTGAGGTCTCTGGGAGGCGAAGCATTCTAGAAAGTAAATTGTGGATTTAATATATAATCATCTTAAAATAGTATTTTTTGCCAAGAAAGGGGTAGATTGGTTTATCAGAGTGTTCTCCATGAATACATGGTTTCACCAAACCAAAGACCCCCTTCTAACAGGCTATCCCTTAATATTCTTCATTGCATCTGTCTGAAAGGAGTCATGCAAACTATGTTCTCTGTAAAATTTAACCAAAGAAGATGTCTGCCAGCTCAAAAATATTCCTAGCATAAATCAACCTGTGCTATCGTAAATTAAATGTCATTATGGGCAATGATTCACGCCAAATCTAACCTGCATACCCTGACCCATAATGCATTACTAATTGTACCACAGAAGAGAGCCATAATAACAATTCTACAATTTGCCTAGCTTCGTGAAACTGTGAGAGTGGTGTTATCCTAAGAATATGGTTGTCCTTGGCTTAAAGTTCCGAGATTATTTGTCCATATATGAATATGATGATGTCATACAACACCCACATATGAGGCATGCTGATGGTAAAAAATAGTCAAGCTGTTGCAAAGGCCAGTATTGAGTAAATGAGCTATAAAATATGGGAGCGCAAAAATGGCCAAAATTTTTTTTTACTATAAATCTGGGGATCTTGACTATATCACAACAGGGGCCAAAATTGTTCATTGAATAAATTGAAGGGCCAGGGCAAGAGGTGTACCTTGGCATGTAGTGCTATCTGAATGCCGCAGGTGCGAGCCGGGGAGGGGGATCTTTGTAGTAAGCCACTAGACACTCACAGGGCATCCATGACGGTTTCAATTATAAACAATAAGTAGTGAGCCCTCTGTTGGTCACTATTATACATTTTTGATATTCTCGTAGTTGGGGGCGCTAACACGGAAGTGATATTTTCATTATTCTCCATATATGGGTTTTTAAATGACCAACCAACAGCTTTAAAATTTAAAAAAACAATGAATATTCATGATATTATCGAAGAAGACATGCTAAACAGTTCCGTAGTATAACATAGGTACGATGTCATGGCTCCTGATTTTACGTGTGAGTATTTAAATTTATTCTATGTTTTTCACCCAAAACTTTAAAAAATCTGGCATGTAAAGTTTACATGGCTATAAATAATTTTTGCAAATTTTTGAAACATTGCCACTTGTGTTGTAATTTCATTGATATCCGTTTTGGTTATGTTGTTGGGAGACCTTTACTATTGCGCTTTGTGTTAATATGTGCAGTAAATAGTGTGTAAATTTATTTTCACAAAAAGGGTATGGGGTTTTGAAAAATCTGTTCTCAATAGTAAGTTGATTCAGAGAAAATATAAATTTCCCATCATCTGAAAGTCCCAGGTCTCTTCAAAAATCAGGTACTATGGTGAGATATGTTTACATCTATCCGGTTTTAATCGATATGCAAGCTACATGGAAACAGATGGACTTGTCATTTTGTCTCTGCATCCCTGCTGTTACAAACAGTTTTGTTTAGCATTCTTGTTTGTATTTTTGAAGAGACCTGGGACTTTCAGATGATGGGAAATTTATATTTTCTCTGAATCAACTTACTATTGAGAACAGATTTTTCAAAACCCCATACCCTTTTTGTGAAAATAAATTTACACACTAATTACTGCACATATTAACACAAAGCGCAATAACATATTTTGTTGTGCAGTACTATATAGTGGGAATATATTGAATTTTCTACTTATAAAGTGCAATAGCAATTTGTACAAAAATAACTGTCAGTATTAACCTGATTGCATACCTTTAATTTGGATTCCTGATGATGACATAATTAATATCAAAGTATTGAATCCCTAAATTTTGAGTATGTATTATTCTATCTGTATCTGAGATTATTCAGTGGACATTTCGGTTTAATTTGGATACTTGTATTTTTTAAAGGTTTATTTTGTTCATTAAAAATATAACATGTAGAACATAATGTTTGTGTCTATTTGTAAACTGAGGTGTAAGAAGAATGATGATTGTAAATGATACTGGCTATTTTCACAGATGAATATTGGATCA